TACAGCGACAACCAAGCTTACCGTACCTGCTAGGAAGTATTCATATTTAGGTTTGTCCCTTTGTAATGATCATTTTAATGCTTATTATAGTAGTAGTATGGTGTAAATGGTAGTGTGTAAATTTTTTATATCCGATATAATATATCGGATAAAATCGAAGCGTTAAGGGATATATAATATATATATATATATATATATATATATATATATATATATATGGTTACATTTTGACAAACTTTCTGCCAATATTGTTGTAAACCAAAACGTGGAGATACGGTAGGATAACATAGGGATTCAGCCAAAGAATGACACTCTACAAAGTTCCATATTTATTTGATATAATGGCTTTTGATTGGAATTGGTGGCTTCCCAGAGCTTCATTTTGAGTTACGCATGTTTGTTCTAATTATTGTTGTGAGAGTGGGCATACTTGCTTTGGCTGCCATTTTCTCTTTCACTACTGCAAAGTGGCACGCATTTGGGGTGGTACTGTAGTGTACCATATTTTTTAAAAATTTCCAATATGATCTGTCTTCTGTTCACAGCAATCAAGTCCTTTTAAAACAAGCATATTGGGTTGGGGTATGTAGCATAAAAGCTTAATTGTGTTGTGCCAAGTCCTCACTTTTAATAGGTTGGAGATTTGGTGAATTGAAGTAATGAAAAGGATGACATGACCATCAAAAGGAGGGTTTGACTACGACTAGTGATGTCTCAGTTCCCCACTTTCCTACACTGGTTACGACTGATACGCTGAGTTGCCTCCACCATCAGCAGCATCCTCATGATTGTCATTGCCGTCTTGTTGTCATCTCCTGATACACCAAGTCACCTCTGCAAGAACTATTATGGATTGTCACCATGATTGTCATCATTGTCTTCATTGTCATTATGGTCATGTCTTCATTGCTATTGTGGATCTCAGAAGAATCACAGGTGACAAGGTCATCCTCCATTCAACCTTTGTTTTGTGTGCACATGCTGACACCAACAATGCTTTGCCTTAAATTGTTGTCACCTGGATCTGCTACTACTATTGATACAGGAGTCCTCAAGACTGACTGTGATTGTAGTGTCTACTTCATTCAACGCAAAACAATACTTGGCTCTGCATCATCACCACCACAGAAATGAATTCAATAGTCTTGTTAGAATGTCTGGTTGGCTTCCTTCAGCCACCATTCTCCCTTATCAACAGCCCTTGCTTTTCAATTTGCAATACGTAATCATTCTACAAGGCGGCAAGTGCTCTGTTGTTTTCAGGTTTGCCCTCTTGTATAGTTCGATATTTTGCATGTTCCCCACACTGGTTTGTCTGGACACACTGATGTCTCGCCAGCAATCAAAGACAGAGGGACCAGTGTACCAGTCCGAGCACCAAAATCATATTATGGAGCTAAATTCCCTTCAGTAGACTACTACACCACCTGTGTCATAAATACCAATTGCTTGCACCATCTTCATTTCATGTGAGTGCTGCTCCTTTTCAAATTGTAGGCCAGGCGGGACAAGAACATGTTGCTTGTCCCTTTAGATCTAGTATATGTGCAGTAACATTGAATCAATTAGAGCCGGCAGCTCTTTTACTTTGTCTTCAAGTGTTTTAAGCTTCACTTCAGCTGCCAACGTCTGACTACAAATAGTGACTATCATACCGGTACAGTATAACATAGTATTTGAACTAGTAAAAATTTGTGAATTATTCCATGTGTCTGTCCTTCCACTCCAATTTGGTTCACCAGGTGAAGAGTGGTAAGATGGGAGGTGGAGGTCAGACTAACTGTACCGTTTGTCTTTTGGGCGAGGGGAGTAAGCCTGACCTCGGGAGCTGGCCCGATCGTCGTTGTCTCTTCAAGCAAAAAAATCGTTCTACTCTGAGGAGCGCGCGGCTGATGAATTCTGGCATGAGGTCTGCCGGCGCTTTTCTTGCGGCTTGCTCTTAACCAGTCCGGTACCAGTACAGGTACACGTACTGTACCGGCGGTACTTGTGATTATCGTACTAGCAGCCACAAACCATTGATACCTGTAAAGGCGAAGGAGCAGTATCATAGATCGAACCAAAATGTCTGATGCTGAAACAGAACAGCTTTCAGAATACGAGCAGCTGCGCAACGAGCGTATCAAGAGGAATGAAGCAAAGCTCGAAAAGCTAGGCTTGATTACACTGGTTGCTGATATCCTTCAAAAGCAAAAGAAAGGCAAGACGAAGAAGAAACCGAGAACCAAGAAACGGATGGTCAAGGCTGGGCAAGAAAGGCGATCGGCAAGACTCAAACGAAAAGCGGACGGCGTGGATGACGCAGAGGACCAGGATCATGTGATGTTGTCGTACGATAGCGATGATTTCATCGAAGATGAATCGAAGCCTGCACCGAGATCCCGTAGGCTCAAGCTCGATGATTTTATCGTTAATCCAAAAGAACTGAAAGCTTTAGAGAAACATATCGATAAAAACTATCTTGGCAAATTCAGGGTAAGTTTCTCACGCTTTCAATATTTGTTCGATCCTATGTTGGTTGAAACCACGCTGTATTGATTGCTCAATTGTATTTTGCTTTCATTCAAAATAGGAGTTTTTGAAGTGTGTGGACAATATTAGCGATCCAAACGAAAAGAATGTAATGAGGCAAATTACGAAGTTGGCTAACGGAGAAGGCGTGCGATACACATCACCACAGGTATGTTTTGTGCGCTTTGTAAAGGCCTTTCCCCTTTTCTTTGTCATTGTCCGAAGTCGTGTCTCACCGATCCGAAATTACACGCAGTTTGGATGGCCAGAGGGTTGTTACTTTATGAAAGGAGAACCAGTTACACCGATCAGTGATGTTGTCGAACTATTGAATGAAGCACAGAAATGCGAAGACGAATGGGGCAGAGATCATGGTAATGGTTGGTTGCTTCGTCACCCCCTCAAGAAGCTTTTGATGTTTCAACAGTTTTGCCTGCGTCAACCAGCTTTCTTGAAGAGCAAGTGCAAGCTGCCCCAATATTGCGAGGAGGTGGAGAGAAGAGCTGAAAAAGACACCGGGAACAAGAAAAGTGGAAATCGTAGGGTTTCCCAGTCGAAGTCTGCGGTTAGCAAACTGAAAAAAAGAAGCCGTTCCAACCGTCCAAGATCGGGATGCAGACGGTCCAAGCGATTCAAGGGGACTTGAGTTGTTCAGTTTCAGTTATATTGCTGCAAGTCGCATCTTGGGCTTACATATTTATCTATCTAGTGCCCTTAGCTTGTCCGCAGAAATCATTGTGAACAATGCAGCATGGGTATCATGCGACTACTGTTCAAAGAAGAATCAGTGGGAAGAGCAAAAAGAAAAAAAGAAAAGCAATATTCGCCACTCGCTCCTAGTCCTACTATAACATAATCACTTCCCATACTTTATTTTTATAAATTACTTTGACAAGAATCACAATCGACATGACAAGATGGAGCTCTCAAATCAGTCGTCATAGAAGAGCACAACCTGTGCCGTCCACATCCTCTCTTTGTGTTGCAGAGTGAACAAATGAAAGAATGAATGAATCCAGTTTCTCTCAATTAATATTTTTTGTCTCTACACCCACAACCACATCTCGTTTTAACCCTTGTGCTAATTAGTCGACAATATACTTGTTGATTTTATTGTAGTTGCTGCGTTGTTAATGTTGTTGTTGTTGCTGCTGCGGCTGTTGCTGCTGCAGTTGTTGGACTGGGCGTACCATGGCCCCGATCGATTGCCTTGCATTCATCCTCCTCCTCCTGGAAGTGGGATACCTGGCTGTGGGACGTCGGAGTACTGGAAGAATCGGTTTAGTCAGGGCGGGTTTGGATGTCATGATAGGGAATGGTTTGCCGCCAATGGTCCTTGATTTCGCTTTGCTGGTCACTGCTTTGATGATGGGAAGGTTTGTTTTCTTTTCGGCATATGGATTCACCACAGTGATGCGATTTTGGTTGTATTGTGCATTTGGGATTTGGTGTCACCACTGTTGTTGTAGCCGTGTTTGTGGCCATCATTTTCGTGGGAGGCGGTGACGTTTTAGGTTTGACACCAGGAGCGTTTGCCAAGTTCTTGGAACGTCGGACCTCGAGCCCAATACTCTTGGAGGATGCTCCTTTATGTTGGCATAGATATCCAGATCCCTTGGTGGACGATGGTAGCTTGGACAACGGAATGTCATCATTAGCACTATCACTATCACTATCACTATCACTATCCTCGGATTCAGATTCACACCCAGCTTCTTCTTCCTCCTCATCTTCTGAATGATCTTCCATCGCAATCTTTTGGGCTATCATTGCTTCTTCGCACATTTCACACATGTAGTTGTCATTGAGATCTCCAGGAAAGGATCGTCGGCCACACACTTGGCACTTTGGGTGGCCTCGGAACATGTTCTGCTGTTTGAAGCCAAAACAGTCTTCAAAGGAATCATGTCGTCAATAGCGAACATAGGACTACTGTAATGTGGAGGGCGAAAAATAATAAAGTGCCAAAGTTTGTATTGGTACCTGGTCCCTGGTAGCAAATGATGCTATAGTATTTTTGGTTTGCATCTGGTATTTTTGGTTTGCATGTACGTGTACCTGGTACCAGATGCGGATGACAATTTCAATTTGGCGCGAGATTTTTCTCAATTTTGCATCGTTTGGTTTCTTTTTGGTGCAATATATGTATTTTAAAAATATTTTGATGTTTTTAATCATTTTGATAGATTTTCTTTGGTTTTTCCATGACCGTTTCTCAATTTAAGATTTATTTTTCACGAAAATGTTGTCGGTCTGTCAAAGATATTTTAACCCATCCACGTTTTTGGACTCGGCCCTGGAACGCACCACAACGTGCAACGCACGCAATTTAAATGTCCGTTAATAGTTAAACGACCCGGTAAGAGCGACCCAAATGTTGCCGGCCGGCCATGCGCCTGCCAACCATCCGGCTACAGGACAAAAAAGCCAACGTCATTGGTGATAGACCGGGCTTGCTCTCCTTTAAAAAACATTTCAGCGACAA